GGGGCCTTCTGCCCTCTGTCACGGGCATAGATTGATCTAGTTAACTCCGTGACAACAGGAAAACTGGGCAGAAGAAAATCTCTGGGATCATAAAATCCAGCTCCTTGCAGACACAGGCAGCCACCTCACGGGCACTCTTTCAAAAAGACGCACAGAGCATCCAATCTACGCACTGCACTCCTCTTACAGGAGCAGAACAGAACGCTGCACTCGGTCTGAAGGTGACTTCTTCCTGCTGGCCGTTGTTTCATGGCTGTTTCTGCTGCCACAAAGCAGCGGTGCCATTCACGCAGCAAACCGTTACATTACATTACATTACATCCTGCTCCTTCTCCACTGAAAACGCTTTTCCAAAGCGATGCACAGCGCTGGAAGGATAAGCCGTTCCTCCCGGCACGGACGAACGCACGCTTTAAGCGCTTCCTTACCATTCCAGGTCCCAGCGTAGGGCTGTCGTACCAAAACTTCTTCCTGTCGGACAAGAAGGAAGGCGCACGGCGTTACCTTCCGGCAGCTGGGAACTAAAGGTTCCCACGCCATCCCGCAGACACACCGACACACCCCGCCAGCAGCGCTTCCCACCCGCGGGAGAAGCGGGGCGGGGAAGGAAGAGCGTAAAGCCGCGAAGGTTCCCGCACGGCTCGGAGCCGCTCGGCACGTGGAAGCACCTTTACGCGCGGGCCCGCCGGCGCGGCCCGCCCGAGCCGGGAGCGGCACGTACTTCTTTTTGCGGAGCATCTTCTTTAGCAGCTTCCCGGAACCGCCCGGTGCGGCGAAGCCGCGCAGCGAACGGCAGCACGGCGCGGCCGCGCTCCCCGCCGCCCGAACCCCCCACATGTTCCCGGACGGCCTCGGCCCGCCGCGCTCCGCGGAGTCGGCGCCCCCTAGCGGCGCGGCGGCCCCGGCCGGCGGCGCCCCCTACGGAGGCTGCGGTAAGGGCGGGGCGGCGCGCTGCAGGCGGGCTCTTCTGGCGGCCGGAGCGTCGCGTCTGAGGGAAGCCGTGCGCTGCGCTCGGTGCCGCGGCGCCTGGGGCAGCTGGCGGCTCGAACGGCGCCGGCTTGAGACTCTGGGCTGTCGAAGTTTTCGTGACGCAAATGACAAGATACGGCAGCTTTTCCACACAGAAGGAGCTTTTGTATTTAATTACAAAGTATTTAAACCGGAAGTGAAAAACGTTAATTAAAGTTACACCTCCACATCTTATCTGCGTCGCGTTACCTTCGTGAATTGCAGGGGAAGGTTATCAGCCCGGCGGTTCCTCACTGGGTAACCAGCAACAGCGTTAACGTGCAGTGCAAGGCCCTTCACAGCAGTACTTCGTTAGGGATGGGAAGACCTGCGAGACCTGCCTGTATGCTTTCAGTCATGTTTTCCTTCATCAGGTGCCGCGTCTTGACGGTGGCGCTTCCGATGTGAGGAGTTATAAGGACGTCCTTCAGTTTTAACAAGGGGTGATCCCTGCGGAGGAAAAGAAGTGCTGAGGTGAGGGCCGCTCACACAGCACGTTTCTTCAGCACCTGAAGGAAACCGGGGAAATGTTTAAAGTAACGATTACAAACAACAGGAATAATGGTAAGACCCAGGCATACTCAAGGCTTGAAACTGAAGCCTGGCTTGCAGCTTTCTATGCAACAAATTCTCCAAATGAGTCGGCATGGATTTTGCTTTGTTGCTGCAGAGGGACTGGGGACCTCGCTTCAGCAGGGCTAGCAGCAAAATTACATAGTTTCTTACACGCCTATGAGCTTTGTCCTATTTTGCAGCACACACACTCACTTCTATTTAACTTAAATATATATCCAACCTTGGCAAAGGTTCAGGATAGGTCACATCCAGAGCAGCTGCCTTAATAACTTTGTTTTGAAGGGCCTCCACCAAAGCATCCTGATCTACAACCAGACCTGGGTGACAGAAAACAAAACAAAACAAAACCCAGCTCTTATTTTTCATATTGCCACACAATTCTCTATCATCTTTTATGGCACGGCAATTAGGCAACTTGTAGGGCTGTTAATGTTCACAAAGCAGAAGCAGCAGCAGGGGGTGGTGAACCAGGAAGAGAAAGCTTGGGTATGCACATGAGAGTTGGACAGTCAGGGTTAAAATGAACATTTCAGAGTAAAAAACACTTTATTAGGGCTGAGTTTCCCAGAACTACTTATACAAAATAAAAATGAGATTAACAACTGCCAGTGAATCATAATGTAGTTTTATTTATCTTGCACCTTACCTCTGCTGATATTAATGAGAATGGCTGTGGGTTTCATCAGCTGTAGCTCCCTCTTCCCAATCAGTTTGTGTGTCTGAGGTGTCAATTTCACAGCCAGCATCACAAAATCTGCCTGCTGGAGCAAGTCATCTATCTTCTTACAGTAGGTAGCTCCAACAGCATGTTCTTCTTCCTTGTTTCTTGGGGGGCAGGGAGGGAGGGGAGGGAGAGAGAACTCTAGTCGTAACCAAGAGTTTGCAGAAAACGTTTAAATCAGAGTTAGAAAAAAAGACCTTTTATTTTTTTTTTTCCTTTGCTCTTTAGTGAGAAGCAGCTAGTTAATTATACAACTGAAACTAAATGAAGAGAAATGCTAAGCTCTGCTTCTCATAATATCAGCCCTACTATGCAAAACCATGCACTACTGCACCCATGGCAAGAAAGTAAGAAGTGCGTATAAATGCACTGAGTAAATAATAAGATAAATGCATCTATGCCACAGCTTTTGGATGTAACGGAGATTCTTTTCCAACCCAAATGCAAAATTGATGTTTGACACAAATTCCCTTCCTTGTGAATAGTAACTCATCCAAAAATTGCTGAGGAAACAGATGAGACAGAGCAGAGGATAAATTCTCAGAAACAACAACAGAAACAGAAACAACAGAAGCCTGCCTGCTCTGTGAATTGGTACTATCCCATTGGAAGCATACACTGTAAGATCTGCCAGCATGTTTATCCACATCAGGACAGTTTGGGGTGTGTACTGTGCTGCTCACATTGGCTTCCCACAGATGTAAAGGATGCACAGCACGTGGGATGGGTCCCTGAGAGGCAGGTACACAGAACGGTACGTGCATTTCTGTCTGAAGACAGTCAGAATGGCTGCCAAGACTGACTCTCCTTATGAGCAGCTAGTTCTAAAAGGAGGAGGTGTTTCTGCCTGCATTCCTGCTGTGTGTAAGTCACGGCAGTGACAGCACCTTAGACTGTTTTCTCCACTCCTCGTTCTACTGTGATGTCACCAACATTGTAGGGAGGTTCGTAGGGAGATCAGTGAGACTGATCAGTTCTGTTCTTTTCTGACTTTGTTTTCATACAAGTCATGAAACCGATGATCATCCTGAAGCCAGCGCACATATTTTGCCACTTACAGAGATAGTCATAAGAGAGCTACACTGGCAAAGCAGACTTTCTTTGGAGTTGTAACCAGTTTTACCTCTGTTTCCTGTTGTGGTATAAAATTTTCATTTCAAAGGCTTTGGCTCTCTCAGCCACTTTGTAGCCAATGGTGCCCATTCCAACGATGCCTAGAGTAGCTCCAGAAACCTCAGCACCCAGCCAGTTGGCAGGGAAATACTCAGTATCAGGGGATATTGCCATTTGATGGCCTTGGAAGGAAAAAAAAAAAAAAAAGAAAGAAAGAAAGAAAGAAAAACTCATGTAAAGAATTAAACCATCTGGTTACTTTCTGTCACAGAACAACACAGAAGCAGAGGAACAGTAACATGCTGTTATATTTCTGGACGAGACCTGAATAGTGATGCACTAGCAACTCAATTTCTTACACTGATCTCTTTCTTAGGATATAAGCATACCCAGACCCTCTTTGGAAGAGGACAAAGAAGCAACCGCACCAGAGCTGCTTGCTGTCTTTTCTGCCTGCAGTACAAATGAATTATTGCCCCATTAAAATGCAACTCTGCAACACAGCTTCCTACTCATGGGATTCATCAGCAGGACTACTGTGACAGTGCTACAGATGTCACCTGTGTTGTATTTGCTGAATAGTGCATCTGATGTAACACAGGTTAGGTTGTAGCATCATCAAGACTTTCAGTAAGGCCAAAGTATGTTTCCCTGCCATCCTGCAGATAGAACACAGCTGGCAGAGGACAGAAACACAGGAAAGGATGGACCAGATTCTTAACAGTTGATGAAAAAAGTCTTAACAGTTTGTTCACAATGACCCAAATTTATGTTAGCTAGGCAAAAACAGGCATTAGGAATCCTTGCAAACATCTCTTTTTATTAGAACTTGGAAAGCAAGACTGCACTGGACAAGTGGAATGAGTGAGTGGCTACAAGCTGAAGGAGAAGAACCCTCAAGACTCTAGGGCTAGCTGGAAAAAGAAATGTACCTACGTTACTGATACATCTGTTGGGAAGCTGAATGCACTACATGCAAGTTATTACTACCAGTGTGACAGAGTTATCCTTTTCCTCATCCCTGTTTTTCTTCCAGTATTTCTGTTCCTAAGCCCACCTTTGCATCAGAAAGCAAACACTTTCTAATTGTGCGTTTTGAAGAGTCAGCTTTTCCCTAAAAAGTCAGAAAGTGTTTCAGTTATTACCTTCCACAAGTCTCCTGGAAGATGCCAGCATCAAAGCCATCCCCAAATCTGCAGTGTCAGTGGAAACAGTCAGTGGAGTGTTAGACACTTTCACACCATAGCTAGAGAGGAGATTCAGATCCAAGTGATCTACTCCCGCTCCAGAGCTTGCAACTATCTTCAGGTTAGGCAGGCTCTGCAGCAGCTCCTCATTAATAACTGGTTTGTGATACCACATATAAATAGCTCTGATCTTTTTGCCAAGAAAGCTCTTGTTTTCAAGATATTCTTTCATGGTGATGAGACAGAAACGTTCCTTTAGAAATTCAGCGTGGTCTTCATATACCCCATGCTTCCCTCCGATGCAGTCAATTAGCACACAAGGCAGCTCCTGACCCTCCATGTCCTACAAAAGCAATGAGAAACCAAAATGACATCTCCCACGGTGACCCGTTGTAAGCTTTTTGAAAATAGGAATTTATTGGCTCAACTGCATGCTCTTTTCTCACTTGAGGATCGATCTGCTCAAAGATATTTGCTCTCGTGAGTGAGTTCTGCCCTCCGTATTCAGAAGGATGTGTCTGTGATTCACAAGCACAGTCCTGGCATCAGAGCTACAGAAAAGTTCAGCGTCACACACCGCCAACAGCAGCTGGCAAGCCTGCTTTGCTGGCTAAGAACAAGCAGCAATGCCCACTCCAGGACCGCTGCAAAGCAAGCACCACTCTCTCGCCCCGGCTGCGTGAAACAAGCACGCACCTTCCCCGCAACGTCCCGTCCCGTCCCTCACCGGATCCCCAGCCACCGAAGCACGGTGAGACACGCCAAAAGTCCTCTCGGAAGGCACTTGCGGATGGGACCGGAGATGGGAGCCCTCCAGAGCAGCCAGAGCAAGCCGCCCAGCTCTCGGTGCAGGCGCACGAGCCGACGGAGCCGGGCCCCCAACGCCGCTCACCTCCGCGCTGCTCGCCAACACGGACCGGCAGCACGGGCTGCGAGGGGAGGAAGCGGAGGAGGAGGAGGAGGAGGAGAAAGAGGAGCGGGGGGAGGAGCCGGTCCTGGAAAAGCTGCCCGCGGCCGCGGCTTGGAGTGGTGGGGATTGGAGCTTGTCCGCGTGGCTTCGGGGGAAAAGGGATAACGTGCGTTAACGAATCCTTTTAGCTAGATATGTATTCTAAGGTGTGAGCTGATTCTATACCATTAAGACCTTCAAAACAGCTAGGGTTTTGGAGCTTGGTGATCCTTGAGGTCCCTTCTATGATTCTGTGATTCTGAGGCGATTCCTCTTGCTGTGTAGATGGTGAGCAGAACACTCAAGGAAGGCTCTGACCTGTGTGGTAGGAGCAGCTGAGAGCTAGAAAACCCTGCCTGAGACCACGGATCTCTATTCCTTCTGAGCCAAGAAATAACCAGCACCTGTGAACTACTGTACCTGACCTGAGCTCTGCCACACTTTGCAATTGGACAATTGCATACAATTCTATCTCCTCCAGTTCTACCAAACACATTTTGGTATGCTGAACATTCAGGCAATCGAGTTCAACATGAGATCCTCTCTAAAATAACTAAGAAAAAATGAAGTGTAATAAACTGTCGTAATGCAAAATGATACATCACTGTAACTTTTTTATCCTGTTGGTGACTTTTGGGTATCATTTATTGACATGAATTTCAAATTCACACGGTTAGACTTTAAACCAAAAATCCATGAACTAGCTAGACGGAGTTAAAGCACATTAACTGGATTCCTAGTATGAGTTCAGTTTTTGACCTTTCTTTAAAAGAAAGCAATAAACATTTAATGCTTACACATTTCGTGTTTCACATCAACCTCTTGTGAGTTTGCTGATAAGACATAATGGGTGACCTTTTAACTTACTGCTTATGTAACAGTGCCTGAGATTAAAGGGTCACTGTGAGGTAGAAGACAAGAGACATTCCAGCAACTAATTTTCTACCAAATTTTAGTACTGAAGGTCAACAAATCCAACAACAAACAAAAACCTTTCAAAGATCAATGTAATAGTTATCCCACTTGCACATCAAATCAACAAATTTGGATTAACAGAATGAAGATATGTTTAGTCAAAGAATAAGTGATCAAATACTCAAAACACTGTTATTCTTCGTTGAGTAAGAATTGAGGACGCATACATCAAATGTCAAGAAAATGAGCTTGGTTATGTGGCTAGATGTGGAGAGAATCAGACAGCTTCCAAGTTGCTTTGTGTCACTTCAGCAAATTTTCAAATTTGTTTCAGGAGCTGATGTTAAATAGAGCAAAATATGTGACAGAAGGGGTCAGGAAGTCACTTACATTCTGAATGACTGAAGAGCTGTTTGAATGGCCAGAATGTCACAAATAGCAAACAACAGCTTGAGATACGTGCACATTGTTGCAGGTGAGAGTGTTGCACGAGCCCACTGCAATATTTTAGGTACCTTGCATTGGAAAAAGAAGTATTGCTGTATGCTAATATTTCATTATTGTTGAGAGAGATCCATTATACCAGTGACAAAGTTCTCTGAAATTCATAATTTCTATGACTACAAAGAAAGAAGTATTGCACAACTTAACTCCTAGTTTCATTAATTATTGCATATTGCCATTGGTTTCTGTGTATTACTGCAGGACAAGCTGATGTTTTGCATAAGACAAGGTGCTTGCATAATGATTGTTCCTTAAGGTAAGGCTTTGAAATATTGCATCGGCCTAAGAGACTTTTGCACAACGTAATACATTTCCTAGCTGGGATGTTTAACCTGGTTTAAGCATGAAATTGGATGGGGATATATGTTCCTTCTATGTTTAAAGTAGTGTTATATGTGAGCAGAGAGCATAGGGGAAAATAAATACATTAAAAACACACACACACACAACTACCAAACAAACACAAGTAGGAGGTCTATATTCTCATGGTTTTGCTTTTCAGGCAAGGCCAACCCAAGGAAACAACTACCTCTTATTCACAAATTACACCACAAGAACATTTGATGCATTTGATATGCATTTGATTTCACTGATTGGAAGCCATCATGAAGCATCACCACTAACCTGCCTGCATGCTTTAGGTAAGGCCTGCATCTCATTAGACTGTTGTAGCAGCAGTCTGTGCTAGATCATACAGTTTGCCTGCCCAAACATTCCAAACAAACCTGGACTAACAGAAAAACTATCACATTTTGCATTACAGTGTCTGCTGCATTTTTTTATTCTTCTTCTAGAGATTTTAAAACTGAGGGTACTATGTCTTCCAAGTACAATCTAAGTAGAATAGGAGGTGGGAAACAGCATGGAAAGATATCCTTAACTGTACGTAAGTTAATATGATACTATTCAATACTGTCGTGGCTTTATGTTTTTTGGTTTTCAGTATTCCGCATCAAAACATCATGTACTGGAATTCAAGTGTTAATGCTCCAATTCCAGGTACCTGTCCCTATATATGACGGAAGTCACGGGATCTGACCCTTCAGGTGGGGCGATCTCTTACTGCCTGCCAGTGGGTGCTGGAGGTGCTTTCCCAGCCATTCCAAGCTTTTCAGGTTTGACTCGGTCTCAGGAACTCTCTCTCCTATCTTATTTGATTCATTAGTCTCAATTTCACTTAGATTGTACTATATTGTGTTATCTTGCATTCCAATATCATAGTTAGTAAAATAAGTTTTTGTCCATAGATTGTATTCGCTGTTTTTTTTCCTCCCTTCCTTCCTTCCCATTTTGTGGGGCTGGGGAGGGGGTGGAGGGGGCAGGGGCCTTCTGCCCCCTGTCACAGGCATAGATTGATCTAGTTAACTTCGTGACAAATACATATTTAGATTGAGGAAAGGTAAGAAATGGAGGAATATTTCTTGTGGTGTAATTTGAAGATAAGAGGCAGTTGCTTCCTGAAGACATTGTTAGGAATTTGTACTTCAGGTCATGATTTCCAGTTTGTAAGGTGATGTCAAGTAGCTAGGTGTTGTATTTGAATCAAACCTATCCTTCCAAGCTGACACTTGCCCAGCACTCTGTCTGAAGCACTGCACTGGCAAGGAGCACTTCTCTAGAAGATCAGCTCAGACACCTAAATATCTGCAGCAGTGGAAGTAAAAGCAAGCAAATGACAAGTGCATTCTGTTGTGCTCGTGAAATGATGCAACTGATTCTGTTTGCTGCTTCTGTTTCACATCCGGAGAAAAGTTTGTATGTGCAAACTCTTGCCCGTTTTCTCTAGTTTGTGGATATTAATCTAATAAATGTTTTGGGTTTTTTTTCCATCTGTTATTATAGATACTGGTGGCTTTGTTTTCAGCTTTGTAATTTGTCACTTGGCCTTTTATTATGAAAGGGTAGACTTACATTTGTCAGGATAATACTGGTGATGATCAAACACATAGTGGTGCCTGTACCTCAGGGAACAGGAGGTCTTTTGTAGAAGGTAGATGGGACAGTCTTAAAATTCTTGTCAGCAAAACAGCTGCTCCTTAAAAGCTACAGTAATTTGTTTCCCTGAGCCACTGGAGTTGTTATACACAGGTTGATCCAAAACCTAGGTGTGCTAACATTCACTGTTTGGTCTCCATAAACATTAAGCAAGCATTGATGAATGCCATTTTCTCTGCGTGGAGGAATTCAGTTCCTCACCTTTGCTTCATGTACACTTCCGTATCAGACATCATTTTGTCAAACTGCCCCTCTGCTGCCATCTGTCACGTGGCAACAAAATATTATAGAATATTGGCAGGAAGGTTCAGCCTCTACTCCCATCCCACCAACATCTGCCTCTGACATGGTGTGCCAACATAATAAAATAGAAGGCATTACTTTCAGAGTAGCCTTTGTACTTAAAGCTGGTGGAAGTCAGTGTCTATTGGCATGCACAGGTGACAACCTGCTCTAAGAAACAGGAGGTGGAAATGACTCTGTAAAGACTTATAAGGGTTTATAAGACTACAGACAGAATCGGAGCTGTGCTTATGGGCAATTTTGCTATAAATGTTACTAATGAACAATCACACTGATCATAAAACCATACTAAATGATAGCATACATAGCAGTGCCACTTTGAGTTGTGCACTGGTAGTTTATTTGTATTTTAAGACAACAGAGTGTACATAAGTTTTAGTTAGGGGGATGAACATTCTTCTATTCAGAGAGTTTTCCTGTGGAAATTGAAATAATTAATTGTATTAGAGATGCTGTTTCTAGTGTGGTAAAGCCATGTCATATTGCTTTTTTACTGTGATAATTGCAGCCTTAAAAACAGTTTGTCAAGTTGCTATTTTTAATCTCTGTAGTACTGATGCTCACTGTTATATCTCGTTTCAAATACAGTTATTCTTGCAGAAGCAGTGACACAAAGGAAATCTTACTGACTTGGGCTTCCATGGTGTTTGTTTTTTCACAACCATTTTTTGTGTTCCTTCTGAGTTACAGAATGGTACTGGAGTCTTACAAGCATTCTTCCAAATATTTTGTGCTACGTTGAAAATATTAAAGGTAGACTTCAAGTAAGTTTGGTATTCCAAATGTGGCAGCACGTCCATCTTGGAGACTATTTTTCATTAGTGCTGTTGTTTGCAACTAATACTTCAAACTGTCGGCTCACATCTGCTTTGAATAAATGATACTGAGTATGTTTCTGAAAATTGATTTTTGCCTCAGCATTTCAGATCTCAGGTGCTACTTTAAAAGGAGACTTCCATATAGAAGGTCACTAGTATTTCTAGCAGGTAGTTTGCACTGTTTTGATATCTAATACAGTATGAATGAGGTGAACTATGTTATCTAAACAGACATGTTCTTTAGGACTCCTATACGTCTTTTTAAATACTGATGTAAAATTGCTATTTTCCCCTTTGTATTACCTCTTTCCTTTAGTCAGGCATACTGTTTCCAAAGTTTTCTAAGAACAGTACAGAATGTTGAGACATTTTTTCTTGTCTCATGACTATCTGGTAGCACCCTTAAAATGACTGGTAGATAGACGGGATCTGTCACCCATGAAAGCTCACTTTCGAACATATTTTTAATAAAATATAACTATATGAAAATAAAAATAACTATAAAGTGATCTGTTACATCTTGTGAAGTCCTGTTTCTCTCACCAGTAGGCAAATTAAAACATAAGTTCTAGGGAGCCTTTCAAAACCTGCAAATAAGAAGGCAATCAGAAATTATTTCTCCCAGAGCCTTTTAAAGCCTGCATGCATTTATCCATAGCTGAAAATGAGGAGCAGTTTGTTCCTCCACAAAGAAAATACACTTTTAAAGGCCTCATTACATGTAAGACTCAGCCAGAGTTCTCCCTGCCCATTCTGAACAGGTGTCTCTTAATGGGGGAAAAAAAAAAAAAGAAAAGAAAAAAAGAAAAAAGAAAAGAAGCATTTAGAGCTGATTGGGAAAAGGAAAAGAATAGAAATATTTAGAGCTCCTTCTGCTCTTCAGCTAGGGAGCACTTCACTAGGCATGGGAAGACCAGTAAGAGCTGCTAATATGTTTTCAACTGCTTCCTCTGTTATCATGCGGGTAGCCTTGTCTGTTTTAATGCCAAGGTGAGGTGTTATAATTACATTCTTCAATTTTAATAATGGGTGATCTCTGGAAGGGAAAAAAAACGAAGTTAAAACATACTGTCATTTATCCAAATGAAGAAGAGTCTTGTTTAGGCTTTCACACTGTATTTAACTATAAAGACAATTTAATATAACTTTACAAATCCTACGTACGTCTGTAGACTTTAATCACCTGTGTTCAAGTAATTCTAGATGTTAAAAGGATATGTTAAGTATTTATACTGTGCTCTTTTGCCCAAGACCACAAACAGATTTTTGCCACGAGCAGCAATTTGTACTACATCAGAATAGAGGATTAAGCACTCCCAGCATATTAACACTACACAATGCTCAGAGCTGTAGCTATGCAACTCAGGTAATGGACAGCAATGTCCTGGCCCCTAGGTCCCCAAACCCCAAAAGCCAGCCACTTCAGTTGTCTCCCCCAAGGAACCATTCTGGCAAATGTGCCTGTAGCCTCTGGGCCCAGGAGGTGTGCAGTACTTCAGCTTTGTACTGGAGAAACAAGCCTGTGGAGAGGGAAAATTTGGGACAATACAGCAGGTCTAAGGAGGGCTGATTCAACCAGCTTCCGCACATTCAATATGTTGCACCTTTAGATAAAACAGGGAGTGAAGTACATGTGTACCTTCAGAGTGTGATTTTGTGGAGTGGTCTAATACTCCCCTCATGCACAAGCTCCCTCGTGCTGTTTCCTGGTACCCACGCTTCCCTTCAGCCTGTTATCAGTTCCAACATCTGGGCTGCATCCCTCATTCACAGCAATTTCACACAAACGTGCAGCCCAGGAGCAGTAGGAGATGCATCTCCATGACCCCTGCCTGACAGCCTCATGCAGTGTTTCTGAGGAATAAGGATAAATGAGATGGTGACCTGGGCAGTGGCTCTGGGTAGGTGACATCCAAAGCTGCAGCCCTGATAACACCAGTGCGCAGAGCTATCACCAATGCCTCTTGGTCCACCACTGCACCTGGGTTGGAATAAAAGTAATGCTGAGCACAATTTGCAGGTAATAGTCTCAGACAGGAAAGAGGGTGGAAAGGGGGTGTGAGGAATTTTTGCCATGCCTGCTTTGTTTTCAGCACGTGCACCAGCTCCACGAAACGAGCTGGCTCGTATTTGGTAGTCAGGCTAGCAAATACTACAAATTTTCCAAATACTACCTCGGCTGATGTTCACGAGAGTAGCTGTGGGTTTCATCAGTTCCATCTCTCTTTTCCCAATCAGCTTGTGTGTCTGAGGTGTCAGGCTCACCACCACCATCACAAAATCTGCCTGGCAGAGCAAATCATCTAGCTTTTCACAGTAAATGGCACCAACAGCTTGCTCTTCCTGCTCTTTCCTGATGGGGAAACAAAGGATCACACTGCATTTCAGAGCATCAATCATGCAAATATCGTCTACCACGATGCCACTGGTATACAAACGCAGATCTGCCATTAATGCAGCCAACAGGTGGCAGAGTAGCATGTGTTCAGTGTCAGCTGGCTGTGTGGGCCCTGCCTCTGGGAGGCAGCAAGCCCTGCCTGCCTCTCAGCTTCTGCAGTGCAGGTTCACGGGCTTATTTTAAAGTCTGCAGGTGGACTGAAGCTAAGCACAGGATTGGACACAGTCCATTCTGCAGGATCTCTGTGGGAAAGGTGCACCTCACAGAATACAATAGTCATTCAAACTGGAGTAGTCAAATTTGCCAGAATTCATCCATGGGACCATGGGAGAATGCTCATCCCATTGATATAATCGAGCAAACGCATCATTTTGCAACGAATGGCATCAGCAAGGCAGTACTTTGGTAATTTAGGATGATTCCTGGCCACTCCAGGACTTTCTAAGTGTGGGTTCTTGGGATTCTCTAAGTGATAAAGCATGTAGCAACACCAAAAGATACCAAATTAAAGTAAGATTTCTAGTTGAATTTTTCACAGTAAGGATAGTTGCCATTTTTGTTTTCTTGCCTGAACTTTGTGAACTAAAGAAGCAAACATAGGAGACTGTGTGTGAAATTTTTTGCTCTTGGTTGCAAGAGAATGACTTTGAATTGTCTCTAATCTAGAAATAAAGAAAGAAATCACCCTAGGAAAATAAGCTCAGTGTCACTTTGGACCATGTGTCTCTAATGCATGCATTTTGTTGGCTTTGTTCAGTGTCAAGGTCAACAGTGATTGAGTAAGGAACAGACTGGAATTACAGCCAGTTTAGCAACATGCAGAGTGTGTCTTGCTTCAGCACATAAGGCAGAAATATAAATGGACTTTAAAACAACCCATTTTTTCACTTCTGTTGCAGCGTGCATTGCTATTTCACGACAGCACTCTTAGATATACATTGAAGACTAAGAAATACTAAACAGAGGGAGATAGTGAAGACCAGCAAATAAATAGATAAGTAAATAAATAAGTAAATAAATAAAAATTGTGCTTTATTTTCTTTTCTCTGTGGTTTATAAAGAAAGTCTGAAGGACTTATATCTAAATCCTGCAAAAGGAGGGATTGGTCCAGTATTTTTTTAACATTTCCCTCTGTATTCCTGACATAATTACATACTTTCTTGGAAAGGAAATACTGACTATATAAAAGGCAGTTTCTGCTGCAATTAGGGTTTTTACCTCCGTGTTCTGTTGTGGTACAAAATCTTCATCTCAAACGCTTTGGCTCTCAGAGCAATCTTATACCCAATGCTGCCCATGCCAATGATTCCCAGAGTAGCTCCAGTAACTTCAACTCCAAGAAAATCAGCTTCACAGTACTCCATACCAGGGGAAATGGCAACATGATAGCCTACAAAAATAAATATCAGGATAATGAATGAATGAGGTCCAGCACAGGTGAACATGGCAAAAGAATCCATGCTCAAAGTGCTACTACAGTACCCACGTTTCACAAGTGCAAACACACAGTTCTAAACAGCAGCCTTTTCTGTAATATCCTAGGCGATTTCTTAATACAACACATTTCCCTGCCATGTGTGACATTTCCCATTTGTTCTTACTGTCCTATAAAAAGCATTTTAATAAATCACCCCTAAAAATCATTATAACAAATGAGACTCGTAAGAATGTTGATCTCCTCTTCATCAGTAACCAAAATCATTACTGCTAGTGACACTGTAGAGGTAGGAAAAACCACATTTAGAATACCACAAGATGTTGGTGTTGCTATTTAGAATGGGAATAACTTTCCTGTCCATCTCTGCCACTCTTCTTTGAAAAGGAAGCGTGACTTCTTTAAAAATCACTACTCGATTATTTCCATAGATTATCTTCTAAACCTGCCAAATTTTGGGTAGCCACACAAACAGAAAATAAACTTGTATGCACAGAGATTATTAGCCAGCTAGCAAGGGGGGAGGCTTCTGATGTTTGTGTCTTCTGATATGGCCAGCTCTTTTTAAACACAAGCAGAATATTGTGAAAGTAACAAAAAATGCCTCAGGTCGTGCCAGAGGACAGCTATTAGAAATGCCACCACAGGGTAATCTCTCCCCTTTGAGTTTCTATGACTCCTCTGGTATAGGTAGCAAATCAATGACAAGTAAATTTTATAGGATAAATCTGAATAATCTTTTCCTGAAGCTGGAGACATTCTAATCAAGCCAAGGATGGATTAATCTGGGGAAGCAGCAAGAAAAAAATCTAAAATTTTGGAAAAAACTAGAAGGGGTGCTGCTAACAGAAACTGGAGCAACCTGCTTCGATGGCTGCTGATGCACCTTAAATTCCTCAGTTCCAGCTTCTAAGACCGAGCTCTGTCCATTAAGCAGTGTTTTACTGGAATATAACGTGTTGCTCAAATATTTGCAACCCATGCTGGTGAACTGTGAGAAATAAACTCTCCTGATTTTATTCATTCCTGGTTGAAATAGGAGTATTTCTGTAGGGTGTAACAATTTGGATATTGAATATATAGAGAATATATCAAAATACAAAATCTTCAATTTTCCAGCCCAACATAGTTAGCTATCACATTTTGTCACACTATAGATATCTTCAGAAAAGTCAAACTAATGGCATGTAAATCGTATCATTTCTAGAAGATACACAAAAAATGAATCAGATATTACCTTCTACTAGTCTTCTAGCAGATGCCAACAGCAAAGCCATCCCAGTATCTGCTGTGCTACTGGAAACAGCACGTGGAGCATTAGCCATTTTCACACCAAAGCTAGCTATAAGTTTCAGATCCAGATGATCCATTCCTACTCCTGAATTTGCAATCACTTTCAAGTTTGGCAGGCTCTGGAGGAGGTCTTTGTCAATGACTGGTTTGTGCCACCACAAATAGATTGCCTGGACCTTTTTTCTCAAATTCTTTTCGCTTTCAAGAAATTCCTTCATAGTGATGAGGCAGAAGTGCTTCTTCAGAAACTCCACATGGTCATGCAGTATCCCATGCATTCCTCCGACTTCATTTACCAAAAGCCCAGGCAGCTCTTCTCCCTCCATCATCTGTACAAAGAAGAAAGAGACACAGCATCAAAAGACATACAAATAATTTTTTCCAAATATTTTAAAGAATCATTGCTCTCATGCTCTTGTTCATGACAACTATGACAAGAGAGCTAATGAACTATATATTTAGATAGGGGGGTAAGCAATTTAGGACAAGAAAGCAGCTCTTCTAAGTATATTATCAATTATATATGAAAACAAACTAAAAAAAAAAAAAGCAGCCAAAAANAGCAACCCCAAACCCAACAACAATGAAGCAAAACAAACATACAACATACAAAAATAAACAACAACAACAAACACCCTAATCTTCATATAAGGAAGTATGAACAAGTTCTGTCCCTCACAGGCTGTAAGGTCACTGTCACCAGGCTTATAATATGCAGTAATTTCTTTTTAATAACTGAGTTTCAGGCCATAAATGGTCTGGCGTATAAATCTTCTGTCCTGTCTCAAAATCACAATTTACTGTGTCTAAGAATTTTAGAAAAATGCTGGAACTAATCTAACTCCTGTAAATTGCACAGGTTCATCATGAACTTTGTGATACAGGTTAATTTTTCAATTCTTTATTTTTCCAGCCTCCTGTCCTGAGATGACACTAGTGACTTTTTAACTGTAGTTGCTTAGATATGTGTTTTTAAATAGGGACTTCAGCACTCAAGTTAAAAAAGCATTAGATTATTTTTCTTCAGAAATCACTGACCACTTGTTTGTGGTTTCCAGGAAATCTCTAAATAGACAGCTGTTAAAAAAAAAAAAAAAAAATTCCTATTTATAGTTACCTTTGGTTTTCAATTGGGAATCTTGTGAAGATCTGGGGGTGAGGAGAGAGCAGGGTGCTGCTGGAGGACTGATAATACAGGAATTTCCTACAGCAATGAAGTCTATTGTCTTGTTAGTGGTGTTTTCACTGTTTGCTTGTTAATATTTGGCTCTTTGTCTACAGTTACTGTGCTAAACATTCATTTTACCACCCCTTCAAGAAGCCTGACTGTATTCCAGAATAATGGGAAGTCTTATTTTATTTTATAAAGGTGACAAATATTGTACCGTAGGGTTGTTTTTCCCCTCCTATTTTTATTGCTTGCTCCTATGGGGAAAAAGACCACCACCACCACCAAGAACAAACACAAGAAAAAGCCTTCTGAAGAGCCTGGAAATGTCAGTCCACTGTGACACACCAGTCACAAAACTCTTCCAACCAGGTTTCAGTTATACCAAGGATGGCATGTCTCTGGTTCTGAGCCAAGACATCTAGCTCCTCTTGCTTGTTCCTCACGCTGCTTACATTGTTGTACAAATACTTCAAATGTGCTTCACTATACTCAGCATGTCATGGACAATACTCAAGGGTCTCATTAGCATGCACCATCTAAAACGTTGGTGTGCTATCCCCTGTCTTACACCTGGTCAGATTGGTTTTAGCCAGTTTTCCATTCAAACCTAGTCTAGAGCTCTATTCATAGGCTCTGACAACACCTGTGCAAAAGCCCTCTGAGAAAGGTGCATCCCATTAGGGTATGTAGACCATCCTGCAATTGAAAAACACAAAACTGTGCCAACAGCAGCAGCGTCAGAACCACATCTTTGCATATGTGCAAAGGTGTTTTGAGTGAAATGATCCTTTGGAGTAGATTTTCTTAAATAAGCTGGTTACAACCAGGCTTTCAGAAAGATAAGCTAGTGCATTCCTGAACTCTGGTTCTAATTTCTAAAATCATGTGCTGTTGGGATTCATAAGTAGTGACAGACATTTCTTTGAGTTTCTGCAGTAGCTGGACTAAGTAAAATGTATATAATATAACACAAAATTCAGAAGTATTATTGATCTGATTAGAGCATTAATCTCCTGCTCTCAGCTTTGCAACTCTCAAAAATTTATCAATTTTTATTACTGGATTATCAGTTTGGTTTCCATTTACTGGGCCTCCTTAAATAAATTAGATAGTTTAGAGGACAAAAAAAACTTGGAGGTAGGCATCCACGGTACTTCAGATTGCTAACTTCCTGGAGAGTGCAAGCAGCTAAAAACAGAGGTAAAACCTGACAGGTGGTTTGCAGAAAGCAGTTACTCCTTGAGAGCTGTGCATGTCACTGTAAAGTCTCAGCTATTTGATGTAGTCCTTTTGGTTCTGCCCCACAG